TGACTATGGCAGGTATATTTTTGAACAAACTTTAAAACATGCTGGTAGTTATGATGTCAAAGGCCCAATTGCCTTTCCCTCCCTCCTTTGTGGAATTATCCTTGCACAATACCCTGATATCCTGGTGGCAAGAGATACTGCTTGCAAAAGAGCTCCTGCTCTTGGGTTACACTACAAGCTGTTTCAGGGATCTCATGCTCCTGATATTGTCATAACATCAGCTGAGACATCATCTGTAAAGACTCAGTCCAAAACATCTGATGTTATAGCTGTATTGAAAGAGACCTGCAAAGAGCTGGAAGCTAGGAAAAAGACCCTAGAAAACCTAATTGCCAGGTTAGAAAAGGAGGAAGCTGAAGGAAACAGAAGGGAAGAGGGTGCAGAAGCTGAAGATCAACTCAATACTGAAGAAACTAGCTCCTCCGATGGGGACAGTGCTTGAAGGTTGGTGGAGTTGATGCTGGTCCCTGGTGGAGTTTGGAAGTGTGTTCAGATTTTAGTTGCTGTTCTTATTACTTTTTCTGGATGACTGTATAAATTTTAAGAACATATATCTTTGGCCCATTTGTGGCTAAAGAGGGGGAGATATATTTTGGTAAACTTTATTAGACATTTTATTTTTCTGCAGTCATATTTATTCTGCTGCTATCTATCTCTGATTGCTTAGGGTCTTTAGCCAAAAATCTGCCAAAGGGGGAGTTTGTAGTTATTTAGTTATTGGCACGCATTTTTGGTAAAACCAGGTGTGTGTGTGTGTGTGTGAATGTCATGACTGATGTCATAACATTCTAGTTTATTAGGTACTGATTTATTAGGTACCTCTGCAGAAAAATATTGTCATACAGGTGCTGCTGTTTATGAGTGTGTATCTGAGCATTTTGCAAAAAGATCACATTTACCAAAATCAGTAGACAGGATTTCAGATGTCATAACAAATGTTAAGACATCCTGTTCTGAACTAACAGTTATGCAGTTTGGGTAATTCTGAGTTTTTTCAGGATTATGACTCAGTCTTTCCAGAACAGAAAATCTCGTGGACTTGGGGTTAACCTAGCTCAACCCTAACCTGGTTGATAAAGTCCTGTGACCTAGTCTTAAGGTCAAACGGAATTAACCCTAGCTTTTTGTGGAAACCCTAACTGAAGATGCAGCTGCTATATATTCAACAGAGCTGCTGTTTTGGAATCAATCCCTTTTTGACAGAAGATCATTTAGAAGCTGTATAGTTTTAACTATTGTAATCCAAGCAAGTATCATTGTGATAAGTGACTTGGAATAGGCTTTAATTGTAAGGGTTGTGTATCACTCAAAGCTTTGAAGCAAGAGTGTTTTTGTGTCTCTTGACTGAAGCTTTGAAGCAAAGTCAAGTTAGGTTTATGTATCACTCAAAGCTATGAAGCAAGAGTGTTTGTGTTGCTTGATTAAAAAGCTGTGAAGCATAATCAAGTGTATATTTTGAAGAGTGTCTTCATCAATTCATTAGTCAATTGTTTTAAGTATCACTGCTGTGATTGAGGGGGAGTGAGTAGGAACTCAGGTTTAAGTTGTACTTAGATTGAAGTTGCATTGGGTAGGTCTTAAGTGAAGGAGATAAACTGGTTGGTTTATTCCTGAATTAATATCTCTTATAGTGGATTTCCTCCCTGGCTTGGTAGCCCCCAGAGTAGGTGTTGTTGCACACTGAACTAGGTAAACAATTGACTGTGTTCTTTACTGTTTTCTTGTATTTACTGTCTTATAGAAAGTCAGATACGGTGTCATAACATTGAACGTGACATTGAGTATCTGCAGCCAGAATTTCAGATTAATTGAAACTCGAATATGTGTAATATACTGAATGAAATAAAAGACAATAATAAGAACTAATACAATAATTTCTCAGTTAATCGTTTTACTATGATCACAACGTTAACCTATTTCCAAAGAAATTATTGATAAAAATGAAACCAAGCAAATTTTGAATACTTTGTGTGCAATCGATTTTTTAGATTTTCCTTTTGACTTTGTTAATATGAAATACATATTACAATCTAATTGATTGCAATGTAATCAACAAAGCAATTTCAAGTTCAAAAATCAAAGGATTTGTCTGTACGTATCAATTACACAATCAATAAATTTAACAATTTGCTATAGAAAGTAAATGAGAGAGAGGACACGAGGATCTTTTTAGGCAGTTCACTAATCGTCTTCGCTATGGCTACGTCTTCTCCCAATTCCAAATGAAAGATATCAATCTTACTTTACAAAAATTTGATTACAAGAGAAATATAACAATACAACCCTACAAATCAAATATTTGATGTTGATTTTATTCCCTTAATCTTGAGCTCAAAGTATCCCGATAACACTAATTGATTCATTGTCTCACGCTACTCATTTGCAAGAAACCTCGTTCTTCAAAGCTTTCACTCGATCGAATCTAACTGTGTATTATCTTGTACCAAGATTTCCAAACGATTCACCGTCTAACGTTACTCCTTCGATTGAACCCACCTTTCTTCGAAGCTTTCACTCGAATGAATTCAATATTTGTGAAATCTTGTGTAAACCCCTCAAATCAACACTATGATCTTAAAGCACAAACCCTAAGGTTTTTCCAGATGAAACCCCCAAAAATTCTCATCCCAATTTACCGATACACCAACCTAAATTGGACGTTATCAACACAAGTCTAGATGGCACCCAAACAAAAAATGATCATGTGTAGTTTGTTTGTGTGTAAGCATAGATGAGAGGTTGAAGATGAAGAGAAATTTTTGCATGTTTTTATAGTTTCATCAAGTTGGAAATGATGCATGTTTGAAGTATTTATATGTGTGCAAGTGGGAGGCAAAAGGGAAACCTAGAAGTTTGAAAAAGAATACAACTTTTCAGAAAAGATACAGCATGTGTCGACACATATAAGTCATGTGTCAACACATTTTATAGCATGTGTCAACCTGTTCAAGGTCATGTGTCGACACATACAAATATAAGCTACAAGCTTTAAAAATGCCCCAAATGTGTCGACTCACACCTCGTATATGTCGATGCATAGACATGTTTTACATGCAGAAACTAATTTTTAATGCATGATACCTTTTCCAAATATATTCTAAATGCATTCTAAGTAAGTATCCTAATGCAAATGTGTGCATAATGCCCATGCAAGGAGCACCAAGATAGAGGAATACATGTGACCTATGCAAAATCTCATCTTGCTTGCGATAATATAATGCCTGTGACTGGCTTGAGCAAGAAGTATATATGTTAAAAGAGCTTTGAAATGGTATTGATCAGTGCATTTTGATGCACATTCCTCTATATTTATACTTATGCATTTCTATGTTTTAGTTTGGTTATTTTTCTTTTTTATTGTATTTTTATAATTTATTTTATTTTTGCACTTATTTATTTTTCGCACTTTATTTTCAGCTTTAGCAGCTTTCACGAATAAATTCATAACTTGAGCTTCAGGAGTCGGAATGAGGCGTGCTACCAGCCGTTGGAAAGCTAAGAGAAAGAGCTAAGATTTTCATTCAGAAGTCGAGAGCTGAATCGGACTGTAGCAGGGCCAGAAATTTCGTTGAAGTTGCAGCTTTAGAAATATTTCTTGTTTTGGGTCATTTGTAATGGGTTTGGGTTATATTTTTGACCCAGTTGGGTTGTAACCGGAAATTCATGTTTCAATATATCCCAAAACAGCCGTGTACTGTGAGGTATTCACTTTTGACGAGAAAAAATATTGTTCACGAGAAAACTATAACTTTGTACGAATCATCCATGAAGAACTAAATTCCAAGAATCAATCGGTTGTATTTGAATTCCACTTTAAGGTTTTTATAAATCTCAATTTATTTTGTTTCCTTTGAATCTTTCTTATAATTCCTAGTGGTTTTAATCAACTAAATCTCTTAAGAAATAAGCTTTGAGAGACCCCTACTTAATACTTTCTCGACCAAGTAAAAAAGCAAAGGAGATAGAAGGTCGCGTTGCCTAATCCCTGATTTATAAGTGAAGAAACCTCTTTGTTGGTCATTGATAAAAACATACATTTGAGAAGAAAAAAAGAGGATGCATCTGATCCAATAACAAAAAGTCTCGTTGAAACCAAATCTCTACAGGACCTTGGTGTTCTTGTGCATTAAGTTAGCTACCTCACACGTGAGAAGAACACGTTCTCTAATACTCCTCCCATGTATAAAAGCTTTTTGTTCATGAGAAGGATACATTCTTAATACTCAGTCACATGTATAAGAGTCTTTTGTTCTTGAGAAATGATACGAGAGATGACATTTGCCAACCTGCCAGCTATGATTTTGGTTATGACTTTATGTTAAAATCATACACATATGAGTGACACGTTTAAAATAAGATCTTCACAAAATCACTCACTCACATATGCCTCACCTAATTGTTTCATTGTTCTATTTCTTACCTGTTGTTATGAGTGAGGCTTCATTCAATCGCAGTTACGTTTTTACAAAAAAGTTTTTTTTTGTTCCTAATTAAATTAGAGGTTGATCAAATGATTCTCTGTGCTTACTTTAAATTGCAATCACAATAACAGCTGCATCATTATCCTTCATATTACAAATAATCAAGGGCAAACACAGCTGAAGCAACCTCAGTTGCACTGGCAGTTGCACCGCCATCACAACATCAAAAACTTCGAACTTAACACCCAAAAGTTCAGGTACAAACTAAGTGCGACTTCTTATAAATAGTTGAATTCAAACACTTTTACAAGGATTCTTGTGGAAGCAATTTTAGTATCAGCTTCATATTTGTACAGAAGAATTTCTACATATAATTATACAAACATCAGATATAAAACCCAACCTGAAAGAGCACAGCTTTTGCTAGTTCTGCCAAAGGATACTGTGATAGGATCATATAAGAACTATCAGCATTTTCAAAGAGAAAACAAGCCTTTGAAGCATTACCAGCCAAAAAGAAAGCAAAATGATACACAGAATTTCATTTCATTTTAATTTATTTATCTTGTGTAAACAATTTTAAGGACCCATTAGTATTCTTCCCATGTTCTGTGGGCAAGGATAACTATCACTTGGATTTTCTCTAGAACCATATGGATTTGAGTTGTTATTTAGTACACCATAGTATCCCGGAGGCGGTGCAGTATGAACAAACTTGAAACTTGAATTGCCGGCGTGAGTTTGGCCGTCGCCGTATTCATTACGCATCATCATCCTCCCTTGATTGTTTGATCTATTTTCAGCGTTTGGGCTAATGCCCATTCCAAGGTCGAGGCTAATAGTATCGCTTTCTTCTTGCCGAATTCGTGCCTGATGACCACCTGCAGCTGATGGTCCTGCCATGTCATGACTATTATTCCTAGCAGTTGGTACATCATGATTGTGTTTACCCTCGTATGTGGTAATTACAGCTTTTGGATCATGAGATGCTCTCTCCACGTGTTTTCTAACCGGGCAACCAGCATTTGTGCATTTGTAATAACTCCTGTGATAAAAAGCATGGTTATCCAAAAATATGAAACAAATCACCACATTTTTTTCAAATACAAAAAGGATATCAAAAAGACAGTAATCTAACTCCGAGCCTGAAAAATCTAGTTATTAGATTGGCAGGAAAATCTGCAATTTCTGATAAAATAGTCTTCAATATAAAAATAGATCAAATAATATTGAGCTTAATGTAAACAAAATGCATTTCAAACATCTTTAAGCTCAAAAAGAAAACTTTCTTAATATTTTGTCTCTATCGTAATTTCAGGTCAGCCACGGAGACAAGATTTCAGCTATTATTCAGAGGACAGACAAAATTTCAGCTAGTATTCAGTTTTGACGTATTAGATCTTGAAAAGAACTACATTATTTTGCTAACGTGATGACAAATAATGAAAGGGAGAACAACTTACAACAAAAATAAGTCCAACCATCCTAATGATCAGTATAAACCCTTTAATAGTGCAAATCAGTGAATATCTTATTGCCTGTCCTTTCCCTCTAAAATGCCTCATATTCACTATTAACCTACTTTCACAACCATGCGTATGTTTCTAGACATTTTTTTGAGAGCATTGAAGTGAACATATATTCTTCCACATTTTCTTGATATAACTAAGTATCTAACAGTTCTCTATTGACCATTGTATTTCTTTGCCTATTTCTTAGCAGTGTTCTTACTTTCGAATGCCTTCCTTAACCATTTTGAATCTAATTATTTTAGTTCCTTTATAGCTTACAATAATCACTTGTCAATGGCCAATTCAGTATTGGTATACAGCTAAGGGAGGCAAAACAGGTCCGGCCCGGCGGGCATGGCCGTATTGCCTGCACTATTTTGTGGTGTGAACCAAGGTTTTAGGCCCCCACCTTCTAATATTAACATAAAATTTGGCAAGTTTATGCTTTAAATGTGCAGTGCCCACGGGCCAGCCCCTCGCCCACCCTCATTTTCTTGAGGGGCGGGCTAAAGTTTTATGCATGTGCCCTCAACTATGTCCACCTTGCCCCGTTTTTTTGCAGGGCGAGCCTAAACGGGACGGACAATGCCCGTTTTCCACCCCTATATACACCATTGATTTCCCAAGGCATCAAACCTTATAGTAACTCGATATTTTGCAATTATTTCAAATTCATGGGTCAGAAAAGAAATAAATAGAATTGTATGAATGACTATTATAACTCTTTTGCAATCCCCAGTCTGACCCTTTCTTCTAGAAACCATTGTTTCAAATCTTTGTCCAAATTAGTGAGAAGTGTTTTTTTTTAAATTAAAGGTTTTTTCTTGTAAATAAGCTGAAACAAGAACACTAAATTGGACTTCATCAGTGTAGTTTATATTGTATAGTCATCAAAGTCAGGACATACCTAGGGTTAGGATTGCCTCTTACCACCTTCTGCCCATATTTACGCCAGCGATAACCATCATCCAATATGTCAACCTCACTCAGAGTCTGTACAACAACCCGTGGCTCCCGGATAGGCTTAACTACAGGAGTGATGTCAAGATCCATTTTTCTGCTTAACAAAAAACTCTTCGTCAGCGAGTGTACTACAAGTAACAAAAATAAAATAAAAACTCTGGCCTAAGTCATCAAACCTTCGCTTTGAGAAAGGATCATCTTCATCAGCCTCATCATTATTCCGGTTTGACAAAAACCCTGCACCCTCTGGACTACCATCATTTGTTGCTATAGGTGATAGCTCTGGAGTACTATCACGCTCAGCTGCATGAGACATCTGACCATAATTATTAAAGCCTTTATCTACAATTCAAGAATTTAAAAAAAAAAAAAAAAAGAAAGCCATGTTACTTGCTCGGCACCAAGTAGTAATAGAACAGAATCAATGAGAAGTATTCATTTGGTATTACCGTCACGGCTAATCAAAGATCTATCTTCTTGCACAGACATAAGATTTCCCCCAGAGTATCGACGGCTTGGTTGAGGTTTAGGATGATCATGTGTTCCCTTGTAAACTATCTCAGTGATTTGGCCATCATGAGAGCGTTCAAAGAGTTTCTTTACTTCACAGTTAGGATGTGTGCATTTGTAATAACTGCGCGGAAATTCACATCCTTTAACAAGCTTCTGCCCATATTTTCGCCAATTGTATCCGTCATCAGACACCTTGTCAGCAGCAACTGAAAGTCCACTGCCTCTACCATCAACTTGTGATGCTTGAAGCCCGGTTCCTATGTTGCCACTGGGGTTTGATTCGTCCAACTCGACTTCAACATGAGCACTAGCCCCTGAAGTAACCATTTGAAGAGGCGATGATGATAGACTTATTTCATCTGAAGGGACTGCCATTTCACTTTTGACTAACGGTAACGAGACAAAAGTTTGAACCTTTCCTTGACCGTCAATTTGAGTAGATTTTTCACATGCATGGTTGTCAAAGTTAGCAGGAACCTTACACAAGTGAAGAGCATTGTGTAAGTACCATGCAACCAGTAGTAATATTCAAAACAGTATAAGAACATGGTACATGACAACCAAAGCTGTTTTGGCCAACTTTCCAATAACACCAACAAAAGAAACAAGAAAATAAGACGTAATGAAAAAATCATGTAATTCATTACCATATTTGATCTATTGTGCGGTTTAAACTCAAAGAAGCTGGATTTTCCGTCATCAACAGCATTAGTATTGTAGCATACAGTGGTTACAGGAAACGCAGCAGACGTGAAAGAAGTCATAAAACCATGCGATGTTTGTTGAAGCCTAGGAAGGGAACCTGTTGTAGGTGACGGTTCTACCTGCAAGATACGAGAAAAATGTTATACTACCATATAAACCTTAAATGCTTATGATATGTGCAACTTATATAAACAAATCTCAGAAAAGTCATTCTCACATGAATCTTGAACTACACAAGTTAGGTTTAGGACCACTCAGACTATGAACATCAAGATACTCAGAAGAAAAAATATCCTGACACATAACCTCTGACATTCTTTATACTATTCCCATGTCATGTAATATAGAACTAACAATGTATCCACTAACTAATCCTTGACGATGATTCTATTCGATTGTTCCACATGTCTAAATGAAGAAAAAAGTGATTTCATGTGTTCCCTACAACACCGTTAAAAACGAAAAAGGGAAAGCAACAACACAAAAGGAAGATTCACTATGTGAAAAAACAACACAGAAAAAATAATGTTTGGCGATCATAAGAGCAACTCATATTCCAATTCTTAATAGAATATCAAATTGAGCATAAAGCAGCAACATAGAATTCTAGAAATGAAAAGCATCAGAATCTAACTGTACCAAACTACAAACACAAACCACCCATATAATAAAATCTACTAGCAGAAAAAGATCAAACACAATAATAGACCAACTTCAATTATTAAAGAAAATAAACAAATAAGCAAAATTAAATCAGCCGCAAAATTAAACAAGCACATATACTCTCACAACAATTTTCAAACTATTCATGAAACTAAGCATCTCCATCTCATCAAGAACTAAATTATGTCATTTTAAGTCACAAATCATAATAATTTTCATTCCAGCAGAAGAATAATGCTCCAGATATGCTGTGCTTGAATAGTGAGAATTAACAATAAAATCACACTGAAAAAGTAACAGTTTTGAAATTTCATGCCAGTAAAAATACAATTGTTTAAACAAAATCAACTGAAAAAACATATTTTAATAATGAATTAACTTACCCATTTAATTTATTTATCTTTTTAGATCAAATTGAAAATTGATACTACATTTTAAGCAATAAAAAAAAATAAAACCCTAGAAATTGAAAAAAAAAAAAAAGAGTATCCTTCAAAACCTTCATGTTTGAGAGTAGAACGGGTGATTCTAGAAAGGAAGTCGGACTTAGTCCTGGAGGAATAGTTAAAATCGGTGACCTAGAGATCGGGAGCTTCGCCGGGGACATCAGCTTGTATCTAGCTCCGCTGGTGTTTCCGGAGGTGGCAGGTCCGTCGGAAGCAGAATCTGGTTTTGGATCGTGGTGTTTGTCATCCATCTCTCCGAGAGTTTGTTGCCGGAATTGAGCTTCACCGGCGTCGGCATCCATTGTGGTGAGAGATAGTGTGAGGAGTGGTTGAGTCACAGGTGAAGGAGGTGAATAGATGGGGGCAAAAATGTCATTTGAGTATAAGGAGTCACTGCGTTTGTCTGTGAACTAAGAGACTGAGACTTAGTTGACCTGTAAAGTTGGATTTCTCTCTCTAACTTGTTCTCTCTTGGTTTTGGTTTGTCATTTTAAACGTTTTCTGAGGTATGGTCTTGCTCTTAAGGGATATTTGCATGTGAAAAACTGTGTGGGAAAACAGAAAAAGTTTTGTTTTTTAAAAAAATATAAATGATATCAAGAAACTTTGTTTTTTTACAAGGCTTAAGAGTGTACAGGACCGTCTATAATATAGGGCATTCTACTTTTTCATGATTAAGATATGGTAAAAGAGACTTTCATATGTATATTTCACAATTTAACCGAAGTTAAATTTAGCTTTTTACATAGGGTTTCTCAAAAAGTTTGAGATGGCTAGAGAATATGATACATCCAGAGTTTGATATGAAATCATAGAAGTCCGCATTTTCAAGTCTCATATGATGTGTGAGAAGAACCACTAAAACAAGCATGGATTGGAGTGTCATTACAATTTCCACCAACATTAATAATTTTGTAGGAGAAGTTGTGGGAATTTCATATGATGAAACAGTTGTTTATTTGTTTTGTTTAAATTTTACTAAAGTATGTGAAAGGAGTGTGTCGTGAAATGGAGAGCCAGTGAGAGTTAATACAAGGGGATAGTTTCATGAGATATAGATGTGGATTTGCGGCTTCTCCAAACGCAATAGATTCCTGGAGTAAAGAGTTATGACATTCTCAAGTGTTTCTAGAGAGACGCGAGAGTCTCTCTCTCTCTCTCTCTAAATTTATTGTGTCCCCTCCAGCGATTTGGTGTACTTTCGCTTGGGTTTTTTCCCTCTCTCTTATTTCTCTTGAATGTTCGTTTTCTAGGGTGGCATGTCCTTTTTGTGTTTTTATCCTTTGTGGCCTTAGCCTTTGTATCCTTGTGTTTCTTTTGTTGGGTGTTATTTCTATCCGATGGCGGGTGGAAAAACATAGCGGTGGAAGAACATTCCTCTTTCGGAGGAGGAAGAGGAAGGTATTATAGTGCAAGGGGAAGCAGAATTAGGTGAATAAATTTTTAACAGAACTTTGGTAGGCAAGCTCTAGACAGACAAATCTTTCAATGTTTGTGCTTTCAAGTGCACAATGATTCAAGCTTGGAGACTAAAGAATGATGTGTAAGTTCAAGATCTAGGGAAAAACTTATTCCTTTTTTGTTTCTCCTCAAGAAGAGATGTTGAATCTTCTTGAAAGGTGGGCCGCTGAATTTTAATAGAAATCTTCTCATCCTTAAAAGGGTTTCGGGAGAAGAACAACCGTCGGGGTTAGAGATGCACTTTAGGACTTTCTGAGGTAGGGTTTATGATCTTCCTCTAAAGCTAAGATCGGAAACCATGGCAAAATAATTGGGTGGCATTCTTGGGGTTTTCAAAGAAGTTGATCCGAAGGAGTAATGGGCTATTTCACAACTGCACGAAAAGTATCACAGTAATAAAAAGAGTGTCGAACCCATAGAGATATAATAGTCAAGTTATCGTTATCTATTGTTACATTGTTTATCTAATGCGATTAAAATAATGATTGGAGATATGAAAAATAAAGTAGAAATAGAATAATAGAATTAATTCAAAAATGCGATGTTGGAATGTTGATCTCATCAATTCGTTGACACTCTTATTGTTTCAAAATTGAACTACCTATTTGACAATATTTTCCTCTTTGAAAAAGAACTAATTAAAAAGGAATTATCGTTGTCGCGTAATTGAAACTGAATTTGACCCTCTAATTTATACCGTCCGTTGTCGCGTGCCCGAAGCATTTTGCTTCAAAGAAGTAAATACCTTTTTTTAGAAATAAGTTTTTGTTACTCAGACGAAAAGTAGTTTTGACTGAAAAATTAGACTTTAAAGGGTTCTCAGCGTTCGCTCGGCCAACCGTACCTTAAACACATAAACGCATCTGAAAATGGGTTTAAAAACACTTTCTAAAAATACTAACTTTCCTAATTGATTAACAAAGAGCTTTCGCATTTTTTTATCAATTAACAAGTAAACAACTGTTGTACCCCAAAATTTTCCCTCCCATATTCTTCAAGAATTGCAAAGTCAAGCTTCAAAATCTCCCCAAAGGTTGCACAGTTCAAGGGCCTCCTAAGCAGTCAAAATTAGGGTTTTGGTTCTGATCAAGAAAATGAAGTTTCCAAGGGTCCAATCAAGTCTCACATGCCTATAAATATGGTCAAGCATCCTCATACCAAGTTTCAAGACTTTCAGCACAAAATTGCACAGTCAAAACCCTAATTGCACTACAGTCAACTGTAGGGGCAAAATGGTCATTTGGCAGTCAAAAGTTCAAATTTTTGGTCAACATCTCATTTTGAAGCCACAAACATCATTTGATCAATGCTTGATCATGATTCTCAAAGCCTGGCTCAAAAATCATCAAGATGCAAAAGTTTCCTTATTTGGACAGTTGAAAAAGTCAACTGTAAATTGACCAGGGCATAACTTTCACATGGATTATCAGAAAAATTCCATCCAAAGCTCATTTTGAAGAGAAAGACATTTCCAACAACTCCTCTTCACACTTCAAGTCCAATAAATGCTCTCACAAAAAGTTATCAATTTCAACATTATAGGTCATTTTCAAAAGTCAACAAAAAGGGACTTTAAGTCAAAGGCCATAACTTGAGATTGGTAAATCAAAATGACATGGGACCAAAGGCATTGGTTAGATGACTCAAAGACCTTTCCAAAATGTCCAAGAACATGAGCAAAACTTAAAAATTGAGCAAGTTATGCCTTGTGGAAGTTGGGAAATTTTTGGATATTTTGAAAAGTCAACATTGATTCAAATGACCTAAAATTGCTAATGGGTCTCTTTTTCTTCCACAATTCATTATCCAAGGCATGTGCACGACCACTTGGCCCAAAGGGAAGTTTTTCTTCATTTTTTATTTATTTATTTGGATTTTTATTATTAATAATTCATTTAAATTAAAATAAATACATGAAAAATACTAAACCTAAGTTTTTCAATCTTTTTGTGCATGATATATACTCAATAATTCGTGCATGATCAGATATGGAAGGAATTGAATTGATTGGATATGATTGAGGTCAAAATAGCATGAAAAAATATTGAAAAAGATCTTGAAAAATCAAATCTTACAAACCATGAATGCAAAGGTTTTGGATCAATTTCTTTAACCCTAATCACTCTCCTATACATACACAAGCAAGACCTAATCCTCCTAACGAAAAAGCTGCGCCAGAAATCCTTACACAAACTTGACTTTTTGCTTAAAAATCTCAAAATTGAAAACAAGGTTAGAGGTCGATTCAGAGCAAGAAACCAATTGCAAAAGCTTCCTCGTGTTTCACTGAAGCTAACTGGATAATTTCCCAACCCTTACACGCCCAGAATTGGTACAAGGGGTTCAAACTGTTTCAAATTATATGCATAATCGTGTTTCCATATTTAGACATTTTCATTGCATATTTTTAATGGATTCATACTAATTGAGGTGTTCTGAAGCTAACCATCTACTTTAATTGTGTTTTCGTGTACTATATGCAATTCTACCATGGATGCAGATTAGGGTTCTTGGAGGTCCAAATTGGGCGTTTCTTAATATGGTAAAATTAAGACACCTGAGTACCACCATTGAAACAAGCATGTTTGGACGAAGAGAAGCCAACCTTCGCGCCTAATTTATGAGGCCTTATGGCCTGTTCGCTATTTTTTTGAAAGTGACTTTCTGGAACGGTGCAAAACCGTTGCCAGTTCTTTCTTTGTTTCAGGAAAAAAGAACAACGCGAAGAGGACGATGAAGTGGAAGGCGTTGATTGGATCATTTAAATTCTTCGCGCGTTTTTGAGCCATTGACCACTTTTCTTTTATAATAATTGTTAGTTATTATATGATAAACGCGCGTTGGATGGCTCAGTGGTAGACGCGTATGCTGGTAACCCCTGGGACCCGGGTTCGATCCCAGGTCCCCACCCTCTTTCCATGTTATTTTTCAATCAGTGTTTCTATGCAGTTTCAATGCTGAAGACGCACCATACGTTCCTCCATCAAGCCGTCCACGCGTCCAATTTCATCAATTCAAGGGCACAAATTTGAGGAGCATGGTATGCGTGAGTCAACGCTTGAGTACGTGAGTGGACAAGTCAGCCAGGCCTGGAGCTCATTGGGCCCAGATTGCTAAAAGAAACACCTCCAAATTAGGGGCAGACCCCCTTAGGTTTGCAATTTTTTTTTTACTTTCTTTATTTTTTTCATTATTTTTACTTTCTTTTAATTATTGTTTTTTTAATTAATTTAATATTTTCATAATGTATAAAAAACACAAGAAAATCAGAAAAGACAAAAAAAATAATAAATATTTTTATTTTAGTATTTTTGTAAATAAATTGCATTAATTCACTTAGTTTTAATTTAGGGTTTAATCTTAACATTTTTTATAAAAAAAAACCTAAAATTGGTAGAATTAGGGTTTATGATAATTTTTATTCCTGTTTCTTTTCTTTCATAATAATTAAATATTTAATATTATTTACTTTTATAAATTAAAATTGCATGTAAAATAATTAGGTTTAATTTTAGGTTAAAGTTTAATGCTTCCTTAACAAATAAAAATTGTAGAATTAGATTTAATTGCATTTAATTCTTTTTCCCATTAAAATCATAAAATACCAAAAAATACCAAAAACAATTTCTTTTTTTTTTAATTAATTAATTTCATCATTTAATTTAATTTTGCAAAAAGGGTCCAACGCCCTCATTTTTAATTCTTATTTAATTCGCGTGTTTATTTCTTTCTCGTGTAATATTTATGTACCTCTCCCAAGGCCTTGTAAATTAATTTCTCGCACTTTGCTTTTCATTATTCCTTTATTTTTCTGTCAAATCGGGTTCTGGAAATTTTGGCG